CCCTGAAACTTCATCAAAATAGGAGTAGCGCGAGCCAAGAATCTAACGAAGGAAAGGAAGAAGTACGATGGCGCTCTCTATCACTGACAACGCCAAGAAGCTATGGGATGCATGGAATATTAGAGGACTCATTATTCTGAGCCTCTCCCTGCAGGCCTCCTTGATTCTGTTCGCACCCCTGAGAAAAGGAAGATTTGCGAGGAAATTTTACTTCCGTTGGCCGATTTGGTTGGCGTACTTGTCCGCGGACTGGGTTGCGACCTATACAATCGGACTCATCTTCACCAGCGACAGTCACAGTACTTGTACTTCGACATCGCCCAGTCCTCCTAAGGACATCCTGGTATTTTGGGCATCTTTTCTCTTGTTGCATCTTGGCGGCCCAGACAACATTACCTCTTATGCCCTAGAGGATAATGAGTTTTGGAAAAGGCACTTGTTTGTGCTTCTGTTGCAGGTTGGTTTTACTCTATACGCCTTCCTGAAGTCCTTCTCAAAGAACGAGCTTTGGCTCCCAACAATCCTAGTGTTATTTGCAGGCATAATGAAATATGCAGAGCGGAACGTTGCACTTTTTTGTGCAAGCTTTCACCATTTTGGAAAGGATTGGGTATCTCCCCATGTCAAAAGGGGAGCTGATAAAGGAAAAGGCGAAACGGAAACTGGACTTCCCATTCCAGTCCAGTTCCATGACACGGAGGACCATACATCATTATTGGGAACTACAGTTCAACTATTTGGCAATGTAAAGAGTGCACTTGTAGGCCCTCTTCTAAAGATAAAAGAACAAATGCGAATTAGAGAAACACTTCTCAGCATCGGAAGAAGTCAGAAGGTGCTCCAAGTACTTGAGATTGAGCTAAGCCTCTTGTATGAGGTTCTTCACACCAAGTTGCCCGTCATCGACGGTAAGAGTGGATTTAATCTCCGTATTGCTAATTTCGGTTGCATCTTGCTAGCCATAATTACATTCTCTTTGGCTAAGTGGCACTACCAGTTGCGGCAATTTGACATGTTGCTGACATATGGGTTGCTAATTGCGGCTTTGGCGTTGGATTCCTTATCTATCATGTTACTCGTTAAATACTCTGATTGGTATGCCATTGCTCATTTCAAGGATACAGTAAAGAAGGATGCTGCATCCAAGGTTATCGAAAGGCAGCACAGGTGGTGTAACGAAGTTTCTCAGCTAAATTGTTTAACTTACCACGTCAAGGGTATGCCAGTTTGGTTGAACAAACTGGCTGATATTCTTCACTTGAGGAGTTCGCTGAAGGTCCTTAAAGGATTCCGTTGTCAGTCCACTCGGAATTTCGAAAACCCACTCTGGCAGTTCATCTATTACGAAGTGAGAGATTTTCCAGAGGATACACGGATCAATGAAGTTTGGTTGGAAAGAGGTAAAGTACTTCTGAAGGATGTCATGAATGGGAAGCAGAAGAAAATGCTTGATGAGTTAGATTACACCCAAAGCCTTCTAGTGTGGCATATAGCTACTGAATTATGTTACCATAAGGATAACAAGTACGAGCCCAAGTCTAAGAAGAGGACAAATTACAGACCAATTTGCAAGCTTCTTTCGGATTATATGTTTTACCTTGCATTGAAGCAGCCCACCATAATGGATTCCGTGTTGGACAATTGGAGCACCATGTTTAAGAAGATATCAAAAATGATTCAGTCAGAAGTGCCTTGGAGTTTCTTCTTAAATGAAAAGAATGTCAGCAGAAAAATCCTTGACATGAAGGTAGAAGAAAACGGTACTGATTCTGTTGAAGAAGTTGAAAAAGATAATGAAGATGATGCACTACTGGAAAACGTGGCATATGCGACAATATTATATTCGACAGCCACATTTCTGTCGAAAATGTGTACATAATCGACAGAAAGATTGACGAAGATGTAAAATTGACGATGATAATGGAAATTTCTTGTTTAATCGACAGTATTCATATTCAACACCTTTTTTGTCGAATATACAAATATATTCGACAGCCTTTGGCTGACGAATATGTTTATGGCTGGCAATGACATCGCTTCCTCTGTATATTCGACAGCTTTGGCTGTCGAATATACTCGTTCATATCACTCACACCTCACCTTTCTTCCCCATTTCTGCTTTTCCCTCTACGGCGGTAGATCTGGTTTCTTCTTTGGTGAAGCTTGCTGTCGTTGTTCTTTCGTAGCGCCCCCTGTTCTCTGCTCCGCGCTGGTGCCGGTGAATTCGTCCTTCTCTCGGTAAATTGATTGATTTATTTTTGCATGTATTTTCCTTGCATTGTTTAGCCTCCAGCGACAGTCGTCGGCACATTGCATTGTTCCTTGTTGATCCTTGCCTTTTGGTTCAACCTCCAGCGTCTCTAAGCAACCACACCACGTGGAGG